GGCCCGTTGCGCCTCTTCCGATGTGTCGATGATCTCTTGCGACACGCTTTGAGCGATATAAAGCGCAACCACAAGATCGTACAAGCATCTTGGTCAGCTTCTCATTGTCAAAGAGCCACCTGTCTTATCCAATTCGTCCGCCTACTCACGCAGCCTTCCGTTCTTTCTTCTGCAACTCTTGGGACGCAAGCAGCTCTGTCTTGCGCAGCCAAGTCACGTTGTCGGATGTCGCAAAGGCTGGTCCAACCATCTCAGCACGAACGTCTGCCCCTTGTGCACCGGCCGTTCCAGCTCTTGACGTAGCGGTTGGATCGGCGAGGTCCGCAGAGAGAAGCCACCTGTCCTCCTCGTCGAGGTCTTTCATGTCCAAGGGTTCTCGAGAAACATCTTGATCCGCAGGTCCACCCCAGCTAGGAGCGTGCGTGAGCAGCGCATGCTCAAGCGGCATGCCCGCGTTGGCATCCACGACCAGTGGGAGGGTATGAGCGGCTGCTAGCCTCGATGCAAATGAAGGGTGGGCGTATCGAGTTGACGGTGCAGGAATGCTTAGGAGCTTCGGAGCATAAGGAGGGAGCGGAAGAGGATTCGGATACCTCGTCCGCTCGATCAGATCTGGCCTCTTGCGCGACATTTCCCAAGTCACTGGCTGTTGCGATGATACTGAAGGTGAGTCTTATTGGCGAAGGTGAGCAGTCCCTTTTGACAAAGCAGACCTCAAGCTCAGACTCTCGCGAGAAGTTTGGTGTGAAGTTGTCAGCCAAGGATTGGACAAAGTTGCTGCCAGAAAGACCAAGCCAGTCCCTAATTTAGAGTCGTCTATTCCCCGCGAAGAGCGCTTTTGAATGATGTGTGCGAAGTGTGACAAGAGCGACAAGTGGCAGAGGATGGGAAAGAGTGATGGGAGCTCCCCCAAGCAGAAAGTGAGTTCAGAGCCGTGTGGTGTGTACACCACCCGCACATGCCAATCTTCTCGCGTTAGCCGTATCGAAGATCACGTGAACCAAGTCAAGAGTACAATCAAAATGCTTCGCGCCCAACTACAATGTGAATGTGAATCACCAATTGTGAATATTCAATTTCGTTCAAGTTTCCTCTTGGCTTTGTTGTATCACTCACCACTCAGGCATCCGTACCGCATTTGGACGCTGATGGGACGGCAGTGACGCTATATGTAAGATTCAACTCGGCTTCATGCAGACTTGCGTGAGGTGGCTTCCGGTCTTGACGCCCAGCCACGCCGAGCCCTTCGCGCATATGGCGCAGCAGGGCTGTGCCGCGAGGGGGAAGGGGCGCGGCTGGACAATAATCGTGAATCGTGATGTGATGGCCGATGAGATCGACCTGTGTACGGTACGCAACAGCTGATGCTTCGTGCGCGCGGTGCGGCCCCCGCGCCGACCGCCTCTTCTGCTCTCGTGTCTTGTGCATGGCTCGCCGTGGCCGTGCCCTGCTGCCGCCCAGCACATGCACCCGTGTCGTCCATGCAGAGCGGCCCAGGCGACCGCGACCGCCTAGGCTCACCGCGAGATACGAGAAGGGTTGCCAGCTGATCGATCGAATGCATCCATCCACTCGTTCCATCCACTACCTCCACCGAGATCCTCACATTCACATCGCGAATTGTCCTAGATACGACAAGGCATCTGACAATCGTGCGTACGCCTACTCACCGAGATTCAGGTACCTCGTAC